AATTTCCAATAAATTGAGTGTTTCCAGTGACTAGAAGAAAATATTGTCGGAATCCAATGACAGTTCGCCATGTGTCAATAATAGTTGTCATTTATGTTTCATATCACGAATAGTGCGGACGCAGCTTTACAAATTTAACTAAGTAAAAATTACTAATAAAATTTCCAATAAATAGTGTTTCCAGTGACTAGAAGAAAAATATTGTCGAATCCAATGACAGTTCGCCATGTGTCAATAATAGTTGTCATTTATGTTTCATATCACGAATAGTGCGACGCAGCTTTACAAATTTAACTAAGTAAAAATTACTAACTAAAATTTCCATAAATGAGTGTTTCCAGTGACTAGAAGGAAAATATTGTCGAATCCAATGACAGTTCGCCATGTGTCAATAATAGTTGTCATTTATGTTTCATATCACGAATAGTGCGTGGTGCAGACGCAGCTTTGCAAATTTAATTAAGTAAAAATCAATAGCTAAAATTTTCAGTAAATGGGTGTTTACAGTGACTAAAATGAAAATATTGTCGGAATACAATGACAGTTCGTCATGTGTCAATAATAGTTGTCATTTATGTTTCATGTCACGAATAGTGCGGACGTAGCTTTACAAATTTAACTAATTAAAAATTACTACCTAAAATTTCCATTAAATGAGTGTTTCCAGTGATTAGAATAAAAATATTGTCGGAATCCAATGACAGTTCGTCATGTGTCAATGATAGTTGTCATTTATGTTTCATGTCACGAATAGTGCATACGCAACATTACAAATTTAACTAAGTAAAAATTACTAACTAAAATTTCCACTAAATGAGTGTTTCCAGTGACTAGAAGGAAAATATTATCAGAATCCAATGACAGTTCGCCATGTGTCAATAATAGTTGTCATTTTTGTTTTATATCACGAATAGTGCGGACGTAGCTTTACAAATTTAACTAATTAAAAATTACTAACTAAAATTTCCACTAAATGAGTGTTTCCAGTGACTAGAAGCAAAATATTGTCAGAATCCAATGACAATTCGCCATGTGTCAATAATAGTTGTTATTTAGTGCAGACGCAGCTTTGCAAATTTAATTAAGTAAAAATTACTAGCTAAAATTTCCAGTAAATGGGTGTTTACAGTGACTAAAATGAAAATATTGTCGGAATACAATTACAGTTCGTCATGTGTCAATAATAGGTGTCATTTATGTTTCATATCACGAATAGTGCGGACGCCGCTTTACAAATTTAACTAAGTAAAAATTACCACTAATTACTAACTAAAATTTCCACTAAATGAGTGTTTCCAGTGACTAGAAGGAAAATATTGTCGAAATCCAATAGTTGTCATTAATGTTTCATATCACAAATAGTGCGGACGCAGCTTTACAAATTTAATTAAATAAAAATTACTAACTAAAGTTTCCAATAATTGAGTGTTTCCAGTGACTAGAAGGAAAATATTGTCGGAATCCAATGACAGTTCGTCATGTATCAATAATAGTTGTCAATTCGTGACATGAGACATAAATCTCATGTCAAGAATAGTGCGTACGCAACATTAAAAAACTTAACTAACAAAATGTTATTAAGCTAAATTTCTGTTAAATGAGTTTGATAACTACACTTGTGTTTACTGTGACTAATTGATAGATGTACGATCCATGTAAAGCGATTCCCTGTCAATCCGTCAAACCAAATAGATTCGCACGAAATCCCCAGACTAGAGACCAATCAATCAATTCGTGCAGAATCTTGGTAATCCAATCCATGGGCATGGTGGATGTTTGCTGCTAATCAGAGTTAGTCTCTCTCCGATAAGCGGTCGGACACGAACAACAAAAAAAAGGAGTAAAATGGAAAGGAAACGTTACGTCCTGTGCAGAGTACGCGTGCGTGCGAAACGCTCAAACACGCTCGGAAACCGTTCGAAAATCGATCGGCCTCAGTGTTTTCCGCGAATCCGCAACAAACGCAAGCACTAAAACCGTCCACGGTCTAATTATAAACCGTACATCCAAACGAAGCTGAGGTCTCTGCTCACATGTCCAATAATTTCGAAACCGTGCCAAAAGCCTTTCACACACTCACACAGAATCAAAAATTTGGATCCATTCACCATCAAAATAAATATTACAAACCAAAAAAAATCACATGAAAATTGTACGTCTTAATTATTTACTTACTTACTTACAATTAGCTTAAGTCTAACCAATTTTACACGCTTTATTATTTTCTTTAATTAATCAAATAAAAGCACTGTTTTTTTTCTATCTTTCGTTCAATTCGCCTTTCATAGATAATGTAAATTTCCTGAATTGATTCAATGCAAATGATTTGTTACGAAACGTAAGCCGATTTCCATTTCTCCGACGTTTTCCTTCCTGGCATTCACCGGCGACTTTGAACTTCGGTTGTAAATACTTCCAATGTCGTCACGAGAATGCCTATTAAAAAAAAAAGAAATGCCACAAGTCTACGGTTTAGGTGATATATCGATAGCTGACTCAGATTCTAAAGCGTTTGCAAAAAAAATACTTATGGAGGTTATGTAATACTGTGTCAAGGTTAAATTTCATTGCAAAGATGACTTTAATTGTACGAGAATCATACTTAACTTAATATAAAAATATATTCGTTGAAGTTAGTAATAAATACATTATTTAGTTACAAATTTAGGACTTAATTTGGGCTATCGACCAAAGTATTAAATATATATTTTTGTCACCTATTTAGATTCAATAAAATTTGTTGAAATTGCAAAATTATGAGATAAAATTTAATGAAGAAATTCTCAAGGGTGAATAACATTGCTGATTTGATGAATTGATGAAATCTATTAAGCAATAATTATTTATACAAAATACAAAGATTATCACATAATATTTATTAAAGTTCAAATATTTTATGCTTTGTATGCTTTTGTTAATATCGTAAGTATTTAATCGATTTGTTAGAGAGAGTTAAATGGGAATTATGTTGGAATTCGATGACAATGCGTTACGTGTCTTATATTTGTGACTCATATCACGCGTAGTGCAGACGCAGCATTATAATATGAAGTTAGATAAATTGAGTTGTCAGACTAAATAAAGTTTTAATTTTACCAAATTAAATGAATGAAAGTTGTATAATTTAAATAAAAAATCTATGTTTAGTTCAATAATTAGTTCAAATAAATAACTTTGCTAAAGTTTTTTTTTTAATTACTTTAGTTTTTTTTTAATCTTTAAATTTAATGAACTTTTATACATTTATTAATATTTGATGAACTTTTGCAACAATTTAATGAAAGTTAAAGAAAATATACCTATAAAAATTGTTAAAATAACAAAGATTCAAGAAAATGACAAATAATAAGCGAACTTTGCAAAAAGTATTATGCAAATAATTGCAATTATACCCATAATACACATAGATAATCCATCAGTAAAGATATATTATCTCTTAATTGTGCATAAAATAATGCTAATTGTGCCAATACGTAATTAAAAAATAATTGTTTGTTTGTTTAAAACAAAATATTATAACATTGCTATTTTTTTAAATTTGATACAGAAACACCTTAAAATACCATTTTTTATGATTTAGTCATTCTCTAATGAAAGAAAGTTGAAGATGGTTAAGAATTTGTCCTTAAAATCCTCAAAAAATAGTTATTTTCATCACATCTTTGAACCAGTTAACTTGTCAATTTTTCCGGTTCGAAAGTTTTAAAACACTAAAAACTAAATTTTCATTGAGCAAAATAAAAATAAATTCTTTGTTTTTTTTTCCTTTATAAAGTCAATTCTTGATTAATTTGGTTTAAAATAGTCCTATTTTCTTAAAAAGATAACTACACTTTGTTGTATTAAAGAACTACAAAATCTTATTTAAAGTATGTGTTTTTTTTATGAAATTATATAATATTATTGAATTAGATTGATGGAAAATTTCGGTTTACGAATCATCATTTCAATGAATTACTAACAGGGATCGTTATGCAAATACTCGAAATTGAAGTTTGATTAATTTCAACTGTAATTTGTTTAGTTTCGATTGTAAACGAACGTAACTAGGGGAACTAATGTACTCGTACATCGATTATCTAATGAACTGAATGTGTGTGTTGTTTACTCAATGAGTAATCTACGCGTTTGACCGAAATGAAGTAGTTAGTTACAACATGAGTTGTAAAAAGACATTTTCACCTTGCTTATGAAATTAATATGCAAGAAACCTTTGTTTACAAGTGCAATTAGCAAATGTTACGCGTCGATTTTCGCGGAATTTAAATGCGAAAAAAAATGTTTCGTTTAACACGTATATTTACGTCTATTTACGTTTAAAGCGATCATGAATATTCATTTATGCAAATTTATAAATTGAAATCAGCTGATTCATGAATTCGAACACATTTTTTTAACAATTTACTTTAATTTCGTAAAAAAATATTCAATTTTATATAAATTGTTACTTCTTCAAAGTAAAATTGGCAAGTTAACTGGTTGAAAGATGTAGTGAAAATAACTATTTTTAAAGGATTTTAAGGACAAATTCTTAAACATCCTCAACTTTATTTCATTACAGAATGATTAAACCATACAAAAATGGTATTTTAAGGACTTTTTATATAATTTCATTACAGAATTACAGGTAACAATGTAATTACCAATAATCATTTTTTTTTTATTCAAAAATCAATACATTTTTGTTAGTAAATTTCTCACATATTCGGTTTTTAACTACGCAGTTTTTCATTCATATATATTACATAAAGTACTCATTTTGTTTCGTAAAACTACAGTAAGATTATTTGATCTGAGTCAATTGATTATGTGAAAGACGTAGAGAAAATTGCAAGTTTTTAAAGATCTTTAACTTCCTTTCATTACAGAATGACTAAATCGTATAAAATTTACATTTTTTTTTTATATAATTTCATTACAGAATTAAAGGTATTATTACTATCTGTATTTACTTTTGTTATTCATTTATATTTACAAACAAAAATTCAACAAATTCTTCAGATATTTTGTCTCTTAACTTCGCGTTTACATACCTCACATAGTTCCGTCAATATCCCGCACTGTTTGAAACATCGACTAATCGAGAGACTTGTCACAAAAAAACCTTTACAATTTATTTTGCTGAATTGAAATTTAGTTCGTTTTGACATTTTCAAACCAGAATTTGTACTGATTGAAACCGCACTATGTGAGGTATTGCTATATTTATAAACGTAAAACTACAGCAAACTTATTTGACCCGAGTTAACAAAACATGAACTATTCCAAGGACGCTGTGAAAACATCCAGTTTCGTATAACGATTTTCAACACGTTTTCAGTACAGAAAGACCAAAATTGATTACATTCCTGAAAGAAAATCAATAGATAATGAATATTTCATTGTAATATTGGTGGTAGTTCAATACTATTTGTATAATAGTAAAAAATGAATCATTCAGATCCACGGTCAAAGACAAGGAACAAAAGTAACTAGAAGAATCGTCGAGGACTTCGATGGATTATATAATTTTTCCGCAGCGGCGATTCTTCCTACCGGCTGCAATTAACTCGAAGGTGAACTGAAAAAAAAACAAAGGAGACAGTAGGAAATCACTTCTGGTCCTGTAGACACGCAATACTCTCCTCCTTCAGTTCATCGAATCCGAGTCGTTAAAAAAAGGACTTTCGTTGATAATGTGGCTCAAAGTCCTCCGGTTCAAAGCACCCAACTCATCACAATCTCGTTACAAAAAGACACTGTTGTATACTATTAAATAATACATTTGCGTTATAATTGTACATAGTTTTCTAACCTTTACATAATGATCAATACTAAAAAATATATAATGGTCTTAATCAATTATTTGTGTATATAAAGACGTAATATTAACCGCAGACCTTGATGATAATAATACACACGAATATTGAATAACCTTGGCCCTGAGAGACAACTCAATTATACCAAAATTACTTCGTTTTATGTAATAAAGTTGTAATTTAATAAACGAAATTAAACTTTATTAATATAAAAATATATATTTGAAGATATAGCAATACCTTTAATAATGCGGCTTGAATCAGTCCGGATTCAATATAAAAAATTTACTACATTTTAATTGGTCCGCTTAACCAATTACCCGCACTATTCGAGGTATAGCTGTTTTATTGATACAACTATGAACGAATGATTATAGCCAAGAGAAAGATCAAGGCAATACGTAAAAACTTACATAAACTTTAATTTTTCTCTAAATTATATAAAGTTGCGTACACACTACTAAATATTTATCTAATGACAATAGTTATAATGAATATGTTTAATTAAATTTATTTCCTTATATAATTTAAAACATGTAGAGAATTAAAAGCTTCTAAAAAATACAGTTTAAAAAATGTAAATTACTGTTTAATAATTTAAATTTTATTAAAAATATTCCATAGAGTCTTTCTCAAAGTCGAACTAATTTATGCTCGAACATTGCTAATAATTAGCGCATACTTTAGAATTTTGCAAATAATTTGCGTAAAGCGTAATTTTTTGTTTGTGCAAATTACACCGTATTTTTATTTTTCATTTGAAGGCTTTGACGAATTCCGTCCATTTTAAAATAGTTTATGCGAACAATGCTTTACGTTTTTACCAAAAAATTACAATGCATATTTTATGTTTTAAACAAAATTGAAAAAAAATCCAGTTTTATTACATTTTTATCTATATATTTTTTGAATATCAAATGATTAAATAAGTCAAATACGTATGTTAAATGCGTAATGTAAATTTCCGACAATGTTTCAGAGTTTGATTATGTAATGAATCTAAAGTTCTTCCTGTTTGTTTGTTTTTTAATTATGTGTGTTATGAATATCGTGTAAATTGAGGACAAATCTTGATTATTCAGATACGATCTGATAATCGTTACATTTTTTTTCTTAATCGCGTTTCTTTATCTCACCAAGATCATCAAGATTGTTGCAACTATTTTTTTTATTAATATATGTTTGTACCATGACACAGATTTCAATTGCATTTCTTTTTTAGAATTTTTATCACAAAATCAATACTTATTTCTGTTCTTCAATATTTCTTATAAATTAAAGTTTTGTAATTATCAATTAAATTTTGGTTAAAATACTAAAAATGTATTAGCTATAGTCTTTATAAGTTATATTTTTTAATTAAATTGTTAAATTATTTTTGTTGTTCTCAGAAATTTCTTTTAAATTATTAATTCAATTGGCTTTTCATAAAAAATACATGAAAATGCTTCAAATTCTTCGAAGTAACTACTTATGCATCAATTAAACATATGTACTACCTATGGGTCATTTTGACCCGAAATACAATAAAATAAGTACCTCTCATTACGACTGCTTTGATCCTACTGATAAGTGCACTAAATCCCCACAATTAATGAATGAAAACAAATTTCAGGTGGGTCACTATGACCCATCTCTAGTAGTTACGGGTTAATGGTAAAGCTTAGATTTCAATTGTTTACAAGTGCTTACTTAATTAACAATTGTTATGCAACTTCAATTGAGCGTGAAAATACATAGATAATTGTTTAAACAATTTTTCTAAAAAGAAAAAAACGGAACAACCATGTGATAATTGTGTACACATTGTTGGATGATAATTGTCGATACGGCACGTTACATTCGATTACGTTGATAACGAGCAGCTAAAAAATGCGGTGAACGAGAGTTAAAGCCACTCGATTATTTCAATTAGACAAATGCGATTATCACACTCCGATTCGATGTTTAATCGCGATTGATTTGTTAAATTTTACAATTGTTGTAGAGAATTCTCCTGAAAAAAAGTTTTACATTCGAGCTTCAAACATGTAAGTTTTGCATTAAAATATTCATTGCAATCAATTGTTGGAAAATTCCATAAAAACAACGTCTCACAAACAAGCTTTAAATATCTCAGTTTTACATCAAAATATTCAAATGTAGTTTGATAAAATATCTAATTAACTTTTTTTTGTTAAAGTTTTATATCATTCATCATATTCAATTTGTTGAGTTTTACAATTGTTGGAGAAATCCAATTAAAAAAAAATCACACAGAAAATCTTCAAATTTGTAAGTTTTATATGAAAATATTGAAACTGAAAAGTTTTAACCATGTAAGTTTCATATTTTTCATTATTTTTAATTAGAATTCTTGGAGAATTCCAAAAGAACGTTCTACAACAAACTTGTAAAACAACATTAATTGTGACGAAATTTTTAAAGAAATTCAAATTCTAGACGATAAAATAATTTAATATAAATCGAAAGTTATGTTTCTTCTTTATAATTCATTTGGTATTAAATGAAATGAAAAAAAATGTATAAGAAAGAACAACAATTTGAATTAGTTAAACAAATATAAACTTTTATACTCTGAAAATTGAAGACTCAATTAATTATTGATATTATTACAGTTTTTCTATCATTTTCTTTCTATTTTGATGCGTAAATGTTGTATTTATTGAGAAAAAAGTAATATTTACTACAAAGTTATTAATAGCGTTTGCTTCAAACCGCATTGGTTTTTTCGTTATTATCAAGTTGTTTACCCAATAAATTGGAATTACCTGTAAAATCAATAAACCAAATTACTTGAAAATTGTAGCCTTATATCTTCTATAATTGAATTGATTTTCTATTTCAAATATAAAATGCTTCGACTGTTTAAAACCGGATTAATAGAAGAACAAAATAAAATAGAAATTTGAATTTGTAGAGAATGTAATCAAATAAACTAGAATTATGTATAGAATTTATAGATTTTTGTTTACTTTAAAGTTAAATATTGTCAAATATAATTTGAATTGAAGACGTATTGATGTTTCAATTCGAAATAATGATGAATGGAATTCCATTGAGAACGATGTTAATTCATTAATGAGGATGTCCCAGTTGCGTTACACTTAACTGAAAATTGCTGTTGATAGGAGGAATAATCAATAGGTTATTTTGAAAACGAAAATTCTAGTAGATGCATTTGCGTTCCAACGTCGTCGGGTGCGTTTCAATTAAGCTTAATTACATCTAATTGCTTCCTATTAAAAACGTAATTCTCAAATGGTCGAAACAAATAAAAAAAAGAAACGAACGTTGAAAAAAAAAGTGCCGTTCCTTCGTCTTTTGTCCTTCGTTTTTGCGAAAAGGCAAAGAGGGCAACGCTCTTTCGCTTCAGCCCTCGACGTCCATTCTTGAGACAGGTAGTTCAGTCAGTAGTCCCTGAAACGTCGCGCTGGACAGTTGGTTTCTTGTGTTCGCTGAAAAAAAAATGAAAAGTAGTAGTGATAATATCAATTGATAAAGTGATCCTAACAATACACCTCTCCCACTCTGATCTGAAATCAATGAATGCTCGCATTAGTCGCAGCCGTCTCATCCATACCATTAGTATTAATTGGGATAAAAGCTTTGGATTGATGTTTTCGGCGTCTCATTATTTTCCAGATTTCGCCGAGCGAACGTCGATCATCGCCTATTTCTGGGTGTTATCGCCGTGCAGGAAAGGTCAATCAAGTGGTTACCAGTCGTGAAACTTAGCGAATATGCCTTTTGTGATTTGAAGGAGAGAGAAAAAAAAAGTTTAGCAAAAACGAGGACTAAGTGAAGAAGAAGGAAACATGAAGCCAGAAACCATCGATACCAACGAGAAGAAGGAAACAATAGACTTGAGCAGGTAAAAAATTTAGCGCTTAATTTCCGCGAACGATGTGCAATTATAGGAATTCCTGCGAGTTGCGTAATCTCCCCCCGATTGATTCGTGCGTATCTGCATATTATTTTTCCGGCTTATCGCCGCACGAAATCGCTGTTATCGCGTTGATGGAAATGCTCGGTTTAGATAACGTTTCGTTAATAAAAATCCAGTATTTCCCGCTCCGCAAGTGCTGTTAGCACGTGGTCCAGCTGTTTCCTCCTGATAACGTTCACATCTTCGACTTTGCACGGGATTTTTGCATTTGCGCGCGGTTTGTCAAAAGAATAATAAGTTGGCTGTGCGATAACGCACGTAAACAGCCTCTCCAGTCAGCTGTTCGCAGAAGAAGGAGAAAGTGGTTAAGTCTTCAGAGTCTTCAAACCATGGCTAATCTTAACGAGAAACTTGCGCTCCTTTCGCAGACGAATCCCGATGAGAAGTATTTAAAATACAGAAGGTAACAATAACAATAATTAAATTTGTTCCTTTTTCTTTTGGTGTTAAACTCTTTAAGAAAAACAATTGTAATCGTTTAGAAAACTTGTGTGCAAAGGTTATCGCTTTTAAAGTCTTTGGAGACGAATCCCGATCGACGTTTCGTGATAACGTTGATTAAAATCTATTACTTTTTTTGTTTATCGGAAATTGCTGTTATCGGAGCAATTGTTGCTCAATGTCGTGAATTCTATACCGATTTTGCATGGAAACTGTTTTGTGAAAGATGATAGCCTTTCGGAGATCGCGTAAACATAATTGATCCATTGATGATACTGAAAAAAGTATATTTGGTTGCATACAGTCAACATCTTGAAAATTTCACATTTTCTTCAAAAAATCTTAACAATTTGTGTATACACTTACTGAAAATTCAAATTTATAGTAAATAATCAAATTTATAAATATATTTATTGAAATAGAAGAATCAATAAATTTTAACAATTTTTTTTTTATAATGTTTTTAATAATTTTACTTTAATTCAAATAATAAATTTATCAGAGTTAAACCTAATCAAATATTCAATATTCAATTTATTAATAGAATTTTTGTTATTGCAAATTCTTAGTCAATTTGAAAAATATTTTGAATCCCATATTTCTGATAATGATTACACAAGTAATTGTAATAAATTTATATAAAATTTTTCATTATTGTATAGTAAATTGTTCAAATTAATCATCAATAAGTAGAGATTAATATAAATTTTATGAATTCTTTTTGTTGCAAGATATTAGCAAAATCTGATTTTTTTGGAGTATTAAATATAATTTATTAGTTATTTGAAAATATTAACGAACTTTTTCATGTTGATATATTTGTTTACAATTTATTTAACATTTTCAGTAAATTTTCTCGCAGTTGCAATATTTATGAACTTAAAGTGTAAATAATTATTTTAAGTAATAATTAAGCAATAAATATAAATGTTTTTAATAAGTATTTGATAATATTTGATTTTATTTCAATATTAATCAGTTACATGTTTGTTTCAATAAAAAAAATCTTATACAATTATGAACATATTCCAGATAATCTTACAATATTTACATGATAGTTGCAAAATTCGAATTCCCTTTATATAATTAATGAAACTAGACTTAGATAAGATAAGAAAGTAAATAAATGAATTATCCTGTAATAATAAATCGCATGGTTATGAAAATTAGGATTATATAGTTATTTGTTTTATATCTTTGTTTAAAAAGTAGAATAACTTGACAAATAAAATTGAAGCCAACTTTGATTTATATTATTTACTGTCATATTAAACAATTTGACATAAGTCAATAAGTTTTTAACGATTTTTTTAAAATAAGATGTCTGGTTATTTGTGGATTAAATTTGCTGATGATCCGAATGAAAAGTTCGTAAAATATTAATATTTTTTTAACTTAAATTATTCAATTCGTGCATTGATTTTTCTAACTTCTATTGTTTTTCTTTTTCAGTTTCGAGGAGAGCCAAAAATTAAGCAGCACTTATGAAATCGGGACCAACCGTTACGACTATGATAATTTGAATGAAGATGGAGCTTATGAAAAACCAAAACTCGACGGTAAACTTATTTATTTTGATTTAATTTTTTTATTTGTTATATAACAAATTGAAAATTATTGTTTTTTTTTTGCTTTAATATTAAATTTCTTCTTTTTTTGTTGTTAGTGAAAGGAAAACTCAGGAAATCATTAAAATGCAATCCTCTAACCATTTTATACTCATTGATCCCGGTCCTCGAGTGGCTACCAAAATACGAATGGAAAAAGAATATTTCATATGATATTTTGAGTGGAATCACTGTAGCCATCATGCATATACCTCAGGTAACTCAACTTTACTTAACAATTTATACTTTAATTACAGTTAAATCTTATTTCTGTTAAATTTTGTATATAGTCTTGAATATTAATTACGTTTTTAATCATAGTTTCTGTTTATATTTCTAATTGATTTTGTTTTAAATACTGCATTTGTTTTTAAGGGTATGGCATATGGATTGCTCGGAAACGTTCCTGCCATTACCGGACTGTACATGGCCTTCTTTCCCGTTTTGATATACTTCGTCTTCGGTACATCAAGGCACGTATCCATAGGTAATTTGAAGTCTTTTAAAGGAATTCGGAATGTTTAATGTAATCGGATTGTTGCGTTTTGTAGGTACTTTTGCCATCGTGTGCTTGATGACTGGGAAGGTTGTCAATAGTTACGGAATTCCCGACGAAGAGGACCTCATTTCTGCCTCTGCCAATCACACTATGATGGCCACAGACTCTATATACACTAAGACTGAGGTCGCAGTTACCGTCACATTCTGCGTTGCAATTTTACAGGTATTTTTCATTAAATTTATATATTTTCTCATTAGATTTATGTAGTTTTACATTAAGTTTATATACTTTTTCATTAGATTTATCTGTTTTTCAGTAGATTTATGTAATTTTCCTTATATTTTACAGTCATTTTATTTACTTTCACATTATTTTTATTGGGTTTATATAGTTTTCAATAGATTTATATACGTTTACATTAGGTTTATACACATTTTAATTGACTTAAATTTTCTAGTTCGTGATGTACGTGTTTCGATTGGGAGTGATCGCAAATCTCCTTTCAGACGTTCTCGTCAGTGGATTCACCTGTGCCTGCGCCTTCCACGTGGTGTCTTCACAACTCAAAGATCTTCTCGGTATTTCCGTGACGAAGAGGCAAGGACTATTCTCCATGCTACTCGTAACTTACCGCCACCCAATAACCATCAATTTTCACCAACAAATTGCAAACTTTTTCAGACTATATACGATGCCGTCATGGAACTGCCAAACTGCAACAACAATGCCGTACTCATATCTTTCGTAGTGATCGTCCTGAGCATTATAAACAACGAGATTTTGAAGGTAAATTAATTGGATTTTGTATCAATCAATTATAAAATTGTGTTGTTTTTAGCCAAGATTAGCGACGAGGACGAAAGTTCCGTTTCCCATTGAATTGGTCGCTGTTGTTTTGGGAACTGCCACTTCTTATTTGATGGACTTTAAAAGTAATTACAACGTGACAGTTATTGGTGAAATACCGACAGGGTAAGATTATGTAAGTTTTTCTTATTGAGTTTAAGAAAACTATATATCATCGTCATATATTGTATATTGATGAAGGAAGAAATTACATTTTGGTGAATTGCAGTTTACCAAATATGACGATACCTCGTTTCGAATTGATTCCGAGCATCATCAGCGATGCAGTGATCATCACCATTGTGTCTTATGCAATCACCATTTCGATGGCCCTGATATTCGCGCAGAAGCTGCAGTACGACGTCAATGCCAATCAGGAGTTGTTTGCTTTGGTAATTTGGATTGTTATTATGATGAGGAAAATGGGTTTGTTGATTTAACGGTTTTGTTGTTTAGGGTTGCGCGAATATTGGTGGTAGTTTTTCTGGAGCGATGCCGGTCGCCGCTTCCCTATCCAGATCTATGATCCAGCAGACTGTGGGTGGTACAAGTCAGTTGGCTTCGGTCGTTTCTTGCCTCTTCATCTTGATCATCCTCGTGTGGGTGGGACCTTTATTCCAATTCCTACCGCGGGTGAGTAATTTATAGAGTTGAGATGATCAATTGATTTTCGTGTATTAATTTCAGAGCGTTTTAGCCAGTATCATTGTGGTGGCTTTGAAAGGGATGCTGAAGCAGTGCGAAAAACTACCAGTTTACTTCCGCATGGATAAATGGGATGGGATCATCTGGTTGTTCACGTTCTTGGTGACTGCGGTGTTTTCCATCACCATGGGTTTGGCTTCCAGTATTATCCTGTCCATAGTTTTGCTCTTCTACAAGGGTCAGCACTCTCAGAGCTCAATCCTGGGAAATCTCTCAGGGACCGATTTCTATCTGGATATTAAGAGATATCAAGCGGTAAGCGGAAAGCGTTTATTTTCTTCTTTGTTAGTTTGTTAATGATGCTTTGGTTTGGCTGATTGATGTTTGTTGTTTCGCAGGTAACCGAGATTCCCGGAATGAAAATCTTGAGGTACTGCGGCAGCTTGAATTTCTCAACAAAGACGTCGTTCAAAGGGACGGTTTTCAAAGCCGTCGGCTACAATTCCAAAGCGCCGAAGGCGGCAAAGAAGAGGAACGGAGATGAGAACGACGTCGTTGCCAACGGGAGGGAAGAAGGAAACTCTCTGCTGGCGATAAAATATTTAATCCTCGACTGCACCGCTCTGACCTACATCGATCCAGCTGGCGTTGAACAGATGAAGATCGTTGTGGACGCGCTGAGGAAGACCGGCATCGAAGTCTTTATGGTGGGATGTTCAGGTGAGGACGATTCTTAGGCGTTTGATCTTTAGGTATTCATTGTTTTGTCGTTTTCAGGTCCGGTGTACGAGATGATCAAAACCTGTGATAAGTATCAGGACAAGGAGAGTTCGTACATAATGTTTCCGACTATAGCGACGGCTGTGACTTTCGCAAAAGCGCACTCGTCTTCTTGATGTTTCTTATTATTTTTTTATATTTATAAACGTCGTTTAAGATTAAGAAGAAAAAAAACGGTTATTATTATATAAGTTGTTTGTTTTTTATGTAAATACAAAGAGTCTATTTTAAGAATAAATCATATTTTAGAATGTTTCATTGGTTTCCTTAATATTAATACAATAAATACAAAAAAAAAAACTTAACGATTTTCCAACTTGATATAATCGTGGAACGTAATCTTCTCTTAGGAATACAAGGTTATTTTATTTCGTAATACGTTTGCATGTATATAATATTAATTCATATCTTTTGTACACTTAAGAGTTAAGGAAGTTATGCTAACTATATGTATAAGTATAATGGTATTATATATATATATAAGCTATTCGACTAGTATATTTTTAGATAGTAATTATCGGTTAATGGTTATGCTTCTTCGGAATGCCTTTATGTACAGAGTTTGTCTTATTTTGTTAAGTAATTAATTAATTTATATTATATATTTTTTTTTACAACTTCTCTTTCTTCATGGTGAAATCGATGACTTTGCAGATATCGCAGTCGGCCTCCGCGTTGCATGAGCAATCCTCCTCGCACTTCTTCAGTTCCTCGCACAGCTTGAAGTTCTTGCGCAGCTCCTTCTTGACCTCCCCGACGAGGTCCTTGTCCGACTGCTATCCCTGCTGTCACATGAACACGTCCTGAAGCTCCTGGTTTCTTCCTTTAGCTTCGCTCATCTCGTCTTCGAACGTGACCATCTTCTCCCTCGGCTTCGGCGCCGGTTTCCTCGGGACCCTCACAGTTAGTGGTAACATGTTCTGCACGTCGCACGCCATGGACAAGTCGAATTCGCTGACGCTGCGCGGTACGAAGTATTCTATCAATGGTTCAGCACCTAAAACTAATGAAATTAGATTAATTAATTTGCTGATATATTGATGTTTGTAATACATACCTGCCGATCTTCGAGTCGGAGCGTTCCTTTGGAAATTGCTTTTGCGCGGTAAACTGTTGTGGTGCAGCACTGGGGGTAGTTTCTTGATGACCGGAGGAGTCTTGATGGGAGCGGCTCCTTCGGTTTTGGGCCTTTGTCAGGAAACCGCCGGGACGTTCTCTTCGTCTCTGAAGGAATCGCTGCGAGAGCACGAGGCTCCCACCAATCGTAGCAATCCCAAAACCTCATCTTGCACTAGACTGAAGCACATCGCCACCAAAGCCATACCGGTCAGGATATAGGCGGAGCAAGCACATAGCGAAATCTCTTCGGTTTGTTGCCCCGGTAAAAGATCTCCAAAACCTATTGTACCTGCACAATAAACTCAATCATTATTTTAATTACTCGACTTGAATAATGTAATATATTTTGGTAGTTTTAGAGTTGCAGATGCAAATATATCAGGGTTTCAACTTGGAATTCCGAGAAGTTTGTTTGAGGACCGGCCGTATATCAGTCGACTACTACTACTACTAACCTAGTGACGTGAAACAGAAATAGCTTCCTTCGAGAAGGCTCCAGTTTTCCAGGCGATGGAAGAGCAACGCCCCGGAACAGATGTAGGCCAGGACCATCACTAAGCAGAGGGTGACCGGGACGCGAACCCTCGTATTGCAGGGACATTGGGGCTTCTGCGGGCTGCCGCATAATTTCCCGTAAAGCCTCCGGAAGCTCCTGGCCAGGACGTCCCCGGTAGTCGTGAGGTATACCAGCATCAGCGGAATGCCGACGAGAGCGTAAATTATGGTCACCAGTTTGCCCCAAGACGTCCTGGGCGACACGCTTCCGTATCCTGTTTTCAAACACAAAGAAAAACCCATTAATATGTCGTTCCGTAATGGAAACATTGCTGCGAACTTTAAACCACAAGGTATTTCGTGAAATTTACTATGAAGAGCGTGAAATACGTTTTCAATTTATTTCAGAATCGTTCGATATTGAGGAAGTTTTAAGTTAAACAAAATTGAAACAATAAATATACATATTTAGCTCCACATTATTCCTCTAAATTATACACAAAATGATCTATATGGTAAATACAAATGTAACAGAAAAAATTCAGAAAAAAATATAATATAAAAAATAAAAACTGGGGCTTTAAATGAATTTTTTAAATCAGGTTAGTTCATGTTACTCTGATGGATATCGTTTTGTTCAATTTTCAATTGCTCTTGTATAATTTCCTCATTTCTTTTTCTCGTTCGTGCGAATATACACGTACATATACATATATATTCTCTGATTGTATCTATGTTGTGTGTGTGGGTGGTTGGATGTTAGGGGAAGCCGCAATTTATTTCCCCCCGCGGCCTTAATATGTCAGCGCGGGACAAATTGCCGGGACCTAGGTTGAAAGAGAAAGAGGAATCTGGACACCGTCGAGGGAGCGAATTGCATTTAATGTTTTGCGTGACTCTTTTTCTATCTTATCCCAACTCGATCTGCCAGATAAAGGACGAGGGAGAGCGCGTGTGTGTTTGTCCCTATGTATATCTGTGTGCGAGAGGAAGAGGAGCAAATGAAGAATGACTTCTACAAAAAAAAAAAGAATTTTCTCCCCCGGTTGATTGCTTTCCGATTGAAAATCCGCGCCGCGGCCACACCTCAATGAAACGACAAAAATAAAAAAAAAATAAAAATTAATACCACGAACGAAAGGATAAACGAAAAGTTTTCAATAAAACAAACAAATTTAAAATTCAGATTCGCGGTTTCCAATTATTAATATCCTCCTCCAGTTCTGTGTTTATTTTCTTTCTTATATTTTTGTTTGTTTATTTCGTTTCACGTCTTGTCGTTTCGTTAATTAATTATTTCATCCGGATTCGGGCGTTTTCAATTTCAACGAATAAATACAGCAGATGCAGAAGTTTTTGCAAAAAAAAAAATATTTCAGTAATACAAGTATGGGGTTAATGCGGAGCAAAATTCATTAATTATAACGCTGCGAAACTCCTTAATCTTCGTGGTATATTTTATTCTTTAGTTATGGATGATAAAAAAATATGTAACGTGGGTTTTCTTGAGGATAATCCAGGTCTGACACTGTCCTCTGATTTATACCTTTCTCGAGATTAAGTCCACTGAATCAAGCGTATAAAATAGTTTATGTTCTGCAAATGATTTATATTGTTTTCGCAATGATTAATTTCATCCTTCAACTCGCGACATGCTATGAAGTTAATGTGTCTTATAACAAATGTTAGTTTCTTATCGATCTCGATTCACATCAGATTTATCCTTGTTTCTAAATTGCTGACAAATATGAAAAATTTATGATTAATCATAAGTCTGTGCGAATTTAGTAATTTCTTTTCTCAACTCCTATTTTATAATAAGCTTACTGTATCTAGTTAAGCTTTTATTGTGAATTACAAGAAATTGATCAAATTTAATTGCATATAGTTTTAGCTTTTATATGTAGATTAAATGAACAAATATGAGAAAACTTTTTTTCAGAAAAATATCTAACATAAACTTTGACTTCGATTTATCTGAAAACGGTTTATCTACAAATCTCATCTTATAATCATTGTTTTCTCTATAGATTTAGCTATAATTTGCATATGAATGATTAAGAATGAAGTAAAAATAATTAATATATTGACATAAAAGTGAGAAGAGTGATAGAAATTTAATTACATCAATTTTGACTTTGAATTACCTGAAAACGGAAAGAGATACAACTTTCATCTTATAATCATTTCCTTCCCTATATATTTAGCTACAATTTACATATGAATGATTAAGAATGCAGTAAATATTAATTAATATATTGTCTTAAAAATGAGAAGACTGAAATTTAATTACATCAAATTTGACTTTGAATTACCTGAAAACGGAAAGAGATACAACTTTTATCTCATAATCATTTAATTCACTATAGATTTAGCTATAATTTGTATATGAATGATTAATAATGCAGTAAATATTAATTAATATACTGACTTAAAAGTGAGAACATTGCTCGAAACTTTGTAACATTAACTTTGACTTTGAATTACCTGAAAATGGAAAGAGATACAACTCTCATCTTATAATCATTTCCTTCCCTATAGATTTAGATACAATTTACATATGAATGATTAAGAATGCAGTAAATATTAATTAATATATTGTCTTAAAAATGAGAAGACTGATTGAAATTTAATTACATCAAAATTTGACTTTGAATTACCTGAAAATGAAAAGAGATACAACTCTCATCTTATAATCATTTCCTTCCCTATAGATTTAGCTACAATTTGCATATGAATGATTAAGAATGCAGTAAATATTAATTAATATACTGACTTAAAAATGAGAACATTGCTCGAAAATTTGTAATATTAACTTTGACTTTGAATTATCTGAAAATGGAAAGAGATACAACTTTGATTTGATGATCATTTCCTTTCGTATATATTTAGCTTTAACTTTAATATTTAATATTGATAATGGTGTTATTAGTTATCGAGACACAAAGAAAAATGTAAGAATGTTTAAATGGATCTATTTAATAATGTTGTGACTTAGAAGTAACGAAAACTGTCCATTTAATTTATGAAATGTCTTTAGCAGGACTAAGCGTAAGCTCTCGTCGTCCTTTACTGCTAAGATGTAATCTTTCGAGTAAATATGATGATCGTAATAAGTTAAACTCGTCCTCGTTGCGTCTCCTGCCGCTCCCTCCCGCCGTTCCTCGCACTCGTCGAGGATGATGGGATAACACTTAAGTCCCAGAGACTTAGGGTGTCCCTCGTGCCGTGGATTTCCTCCTCGACGGGCCTTGATTAAGATAGATGTGCCCCGGAATTGTTTAAAACTCCGTTGTTTATTTCCATCTCGAGCTCCGCCGCTTCAGGTGCGCGCCTCGCGAGAATTACCCAACAATTGTCCTTCGTCCTTCTTCTTCATATGCTCTTCATCGTTACGACTACTTATTGTTATTATTACACTTGAACTAACGACTCTCTACGTCTCGCCTCGCTTTATTATCGTCCTTTTCGTTCGTACACCGATGCTGGTTGCTGCTTTAAATTATAAGTAAATTACTTCCAAGCCGTAGAGTATTCAATTTCACACGGTCGCAGCATGAGTTAAAACTCTTCGACGCGAGAATAACAAACGACGCAAGAATAATAATAATAACGATGACAATAATGATAATAAAGTTCTCGTAAACTATGCGAAACTGACGTTCGCGAGGAATGGAGGACACGGGGAATCCCCGGGGCGACCGAAGCCAGATGCACGGTCCTCATCCATTGTTGTCGTAAGTTCCTACTGAAGCCGGCATCGTTTCCACTAAAGATAATTAATTATTAATTGTCAAGTATTTACGTAACGCAAATCTTGAGAACGTAGCGTAAATCTGTAAGCACTTCGAGATTTTAAAATAAACCTATTTCGTTAACTCAACTTTCATCAATAATGAAGGAAATGATCATAAGATGAAAGTTGTATAACTTTTCCATTTTCAGGTAAATTAAAGTCAAATTTGATGTAATAAAGTTTCGTGTAGTTTTATTACTTTTAAATCAATATATA